TAGACTGGGGTGCCTCAAGATTTTGCATACTTTTTAAGGTTGCTGCTCTTCACTCTTCTCCTGCACATTCTGCCTGCTGTCTGAGAGGGTCCCACCCTGACTTTACTGGTTTGCAGCATGCTGGCTTGACTGCCATTTCCCTCACCTGTTCCTTCCTTGCTCAAGCCAACCCTGGAATGTTGCCCACTACTCCCGGGCTCCCTCTTATGGTCAGATAGGAGAGCATCATCTGAGTGAGTCAGATGGGAGTTTCCTGTCTCTGAGTGATGATGTCACCCCACTCACCATATATATATACCACTCAGTCCAGTCTGACCTTGCCCTTGCCCTGAGTATCCTGATTCCGTGTATGACCCCGATCCTGGCAGACGGTCTCCGCTGGCTCCTGCCTTGTTCCTGACAATGCTGATTTCCTGGCTTGTTCCTGACAACACTGATCTCTGTGTTCCTGACCTGGCTTGGATGACTACCCACTCTGGCTCCTGACTCTGGCTTGTTCTGCTTACTCCTGTGGACACTGCTCTTAATAAATATTTTAACTAGCACCTTTTGCTTGTCTGGTTTTCATTGTGCTCTGACACTGTCATACTCTCTGCACTTTTCTCCTGCACATATTGCTCCCTGTCACACTGTTTTCCTGCACATACTGCTCACTGTCATACTCCATTCACTCTGTTCCTGCTTATACTGCTTCCTGCCATACTCCCTGCACTCTTTTCCTGCACATACTCTTCCCTGCACATACTGCTACCTGTTATACTCTCCACCAGAGACATAACAAATACAGTGGGAAATTTTGTTTGATTCTAACATTTGATTTTTGAATGAATGGAGTTTCCTGAAAAAACAAATACATTATCTGTACGGAATTTAGTTTCTTTAAGAAAAAATTTCCATCCCGCTCCTTCCATTTTTTTTGCCAATAAATGATCGTCAATCTGACCCCATTAACAGTTATTTTGGTGTCACCTCCTAAGTCGGGCACTTGGTCATGGACCGAGAGGGGAGGGGGGATCTGGTGGCATACCTGATCCCAAAGGGTTAATATCCCCTCCTCTCTTTGCTGGTGTCCATCATCAAAATGGCTAAAGGTAGTAAAGTACATCACCGTGCATGCATGATGACGTGACATGATGGATGTCATAATACATGGGTGGCGGCGGCGCCGGGTGACACAAACCCTGGTGCCTCCTTTGAGTTCTATAAAGAGAACTTACTGTCACTACCTTATATCATAACAAAGAGAATGCCAGTGACCAGATTCGAGTGCTTCTGTCTGTTGCCCATACAAGCCAATTAACCTTTCAGGAACACTGAAGCACTTATGTCAAAGCAGAGCTAAACTTCCACTTTGCATGAATACTAGACTGTATCAGTGCTGGCCAATTAGCTCCAGCGTATCACGTGACGATGTCGCTTTCAGCCCCTGTGTTCTATCGAAATGCCCGACTTGTTGTAGACAGCTTCTCCTTTCACTCAGGGTTAGTTATGTTTGTCCCGGCTCGTGTGAGGAGGAGGCTGAGCTGCGTGCGCATGGCAAGCTGTGAGGGGAGAAAAGAGGAAGCCAGGCGCAGAGCTCTGACACTCAGGTAATGACTATGATCTGACCCGGGTTATCACACACACAGTGCACCCCATGAGTATTCCCGGAACCTACTGATCCTCCTACCGGACCTGTACACACAGCACAGCCAGTGTGTATTGACTGGTGAGTGCTCAGCTTCAGGATAACAGTCCACACATTGCATAGATGTGCAGTAGCCTGTGCAGAAAGATTTTCCTTCTGACAGTTTATCAAAACTGGAGCAGTTGCCCGTGGCAACAAATTCAATTTTCTCTTCAGTTATGCTTTGTAAATGAAAAATAGAAGCTGATTGGTTGCCATGGGCAACTGCTCCAATTTTGATACATTCCCCCCAATATCTGTATCAATGAGTTCTATGTTGTGGTTTCCTCACTTCTTTGACCCTTCTTCCTAACACCCCATCTGTTTTTTACCTTTTGTCTTTTCTATTACCCATATAAACAAATATTAAAGTAAAGTAAAAAAAACACTTTGGAGGGGTTTGCTATACTGTGATAGTATGCACAACATAGCCCCGCTTCTCACTTGGGCGATCCCGGGGCGTGCGTTTGTGCACAATAGCGCACAGCGTTTGCCGGGAGGGGCCCTATTGATTTTAACAGAGTTATATCCTCACTGATCCGCAAAGCACAGAAATAGGGAAGAGGCACAGCATGGGAACTGGTCATAGATTCCTCTCTGATAGTCTTGTCAGCCAACACTACTGTTATGTATGTAACCTAACCTATGTATGTTATGTAGTACCTTTGCTTCCTGGTGAGGCATTCCCCAGCTCTGCCCCCAGCATGTCCCGCCCCCATCCCAACGAACCCCTGGCTAGTGTGCAGGTGAGAGGAGGAAGGGAGGAGCCTCCCTGTCCCTCACTTGCTCGTCACTGCTAAGGCATCAAGATCGATGGCCTCAGTGGGTTTTTTTGTCTTTTTTTGATTGGACAGCTTGGACCAATTTCACTTTGCTATTGATCCAAACCATCCACAGAGCTCACTCCTCTAACAGAGTAGAGGCTGTGACAGCTCTGGCCTCACTAGTTAAGTTACACAAGCAGTGGGGAAGCCTGCTGCTGTGTAAACTAACTACCTGTCAAAACCTGGATGCAGTGCTGCCTGTAATTAACAGGCAGCACTCTGTCCATGACAGGTTACACAGCAGGGAGGCTTTCCCTGCTGTGTAACCTGTTACAAGATGCTTTGAATTGAGAAAAAGCTGTCAGCTTCAGACTTGAAGCTGACAGCTTTTTCCTCCATAATACTAGGTGAGGCTCTGCCTCCCCTGACCGCATGTCCCTGGTATGTAAGCATACAAGGAGTAATAGATCACGTTTACTGGTGTGCTGCTGTTCCATCACTGTCCATTTACATGTTGGGTAGCTGGCTGAATGGGGTGCATATGTCACAAGACTGGCTGTACAGAACTACACATCTTTTGGCAGGTAAAGCAGATCAAATTAAGCTTTGTGAATAAATAAAGCAAAAGAGATGTGACCCTTTTTTTTTTTTAACAACCCAGATAGCAAGCAATTGAGCTGCAAGTTTGAAAATCACTTGCTAAACTATTGCAGACTTGCCAAGCTTCGCCATTGTGTTGCACAATTACAGCAAGTCTGCATTGCAAGTCTCCAGGTCAACGTGCTTTGCAAAAGTGCTCGACACTTGCAGAGCTCTTGCTCAGACCTACAGGACTCTTGCTGTAGACTTGCCAAGCAAATTTGCTACAAATTCAAAAAGTGTCAACTAGAACTTGTGCTGCAAGTGTTCTGCAAGTCTACAACTTGCCAGGAATGTGTGCAGCAAGTTGACAAGAATTACTATTTAACCCTGCCAAAAGTTTGTGGCATGTTATTCTTGCTATCTGGGAAGTTAACTGCAGAGTGGTTTTGTAAGATAATGTTTAGTCTGCTTACAAATCTCTCCATATACATTTCACTGCCATGTATTGTACATCCATATTATTCCGAGCCTTTGCCTACAGCAATATTCTATCTTTATGGTGTTTGTGGGAACTTTGTGATTAACTATAGTTGTTTTCCTGATCAGAGACTGCAAATGGCGCCTCTTCTGGAGCATGAAAACCAGATCTTCCTGGACCTATTCCATGAAGATGGTCTCGTCATCACTGCCCAGGGACTCGGCATTGACAGAATCTTACAGAACTTCTTGAAGCTCTACTGTGACCCGGGAAACCTTGTGTTAGTGTTGAATACCAATACAGCTGAAGAGGTAATATTCGCCATTTTTATCACAAGTACTGACATTTAGTATTATACCTAAAGAGCAGTACTGCACACCACTGAAGCACGTATGTACAGCTGGATAATAATGCAAACATCAAATAAATTGGACAAATCACAAAAGTGTACAAATCTTCTCCCTGTATCCTTTCAATGAAGGATGTAGTGGAGGCCTCGGAGATGTCACTTGACTTGCTTCAGTGTTCCGAAGCATAGGTAGTTGTTTTCATAGCACATTCTAAAGAAATACTGTAAACTTTGACTGCTATGTCCTAACAGTGTTACTAATTGATCAGAGAATATAGGGTGCATATACAGTGAGGAAAATAATGATTTGATCCCCTGCAGATTTTGTAATTTTGCCCACTTACCAAGAAATGAAAGGTCTATAATTTTGTATCATAGGTGTATTTTAAATGATAGAGACGATATATCAACCAAAAATCCAGAAAAAAAACACGATACAAATGTTATAAATTGAGTTGCAGTTCAGTAAGTGAAATAAGTATTTGATCCCCAACAAAACATGACTTAGTACTTGGTGGAGAAACCCTTGTTGGCAAGCACAGAAGTAAGACGCTTCTTGTAGTTGGTTACCAGGTTTGGACACATCTCGGGAGGGATTTTGCCCACTCTTCTTTACAGATCTTCTCTAAATCCTTAAAGCATAACTATGGGGTTAGGGCTTTTCCCCATAGTTCTCCGAAGGGTAACGGGAGGACACAAACTTGCGTCCTCCTGTTACCCAAAGCTCAGTATACCGCGAGCTGCAGCTCGCGGTATACTGAGACGCCGCAGCTAAAACGGATCCCGACTATTATGTCTGTATCCGCCCAGCTGTGTGAGTGACAGCTGGCTCTGCCTATCTAGAGGCAGAGCCGGCTGTACCCGCCCCCTCCCTCATCCGTTACGCCAGTCAGCGCTGGAGGATCGGACAGGGGAGAATCCAGTCACTCCCCTGTCACGGCTCTCTGCAGTGACAGGATCGAGAAGTGAGCGAACGCCGGTATGTGTTTGCTCACTTCCCGATCTACTGAGCCGACCTGTGACAGTTTCATTATCACAAGTCGGCTCAGATTATGAGGCTGAGTGAAAAGCACTCACCTCATAATTCTCATAATTCTCCTTTTTAAGGTTTCTTGGCTGTCGCATGGCAACTCAAAGTTTCAGCTTCCTCCATAAATTTTCTATAGGATTAAGGTCTGGAGACTGGCTAGGCCACTCCATGACCTTAATATGCTTCTTCTTGAGCCATTGCTTTGTTGCCTTGGCGGTATGTTTTGGGTCATTGCCATGCTGTAAGACCCATCTTCAGTGTTCTGGCTAAGGGAAGGAAGTTCTCATCTAAGATTTTACAATCACTCGCCCCATCCATTGGTTCCTCAATGCGGCAAAGTCGCCCTGTACCTTTAGCAGAGAAACAGCCCCAAAAGCATAATCTTTACACCTCTGTGCTTGACTGTAGGGATGGTGTTCTTAGGGTCATAGGCAGCATTTTTCTACCTCCAAACACAGCGAGTCGAGTTAATGCCAAATAGCTCAATTTTGGTCTCATCTGACCACAGCACTTTCTCCCAATCCTTCTCTGAATCATTTAGATGTTCATTGGCAAACTTCAGACGGGTCTGTACATGCACCTTCTTGAGGAGGGGGACCTTGCGGGAGCTGCAGGATCTCAATCTATGGCGGTGTATTGTGTTACAAATGGTTTGTTTGGTGACTGTGGTCCCAATTGCCTTGAGATCATTCACAAGCTCCTCCCGTGTAGTTCTGGGCTGAACGTACAGAGCGTTATTGAAGGTGATAAGGACGTGCGGAGCGTTATTGAAGGTGACAAGAACGTGCAGAGCGTTATTGAAGGTGACAAGAACGTGCAGAGCGCTATTGAAGGTGACAAGAACGTGCAGATCGTTATTGAAGGTGGCAAGAACGTGCAGAGCGTTATTGAAGGTGACAAGAACGTGCGGATCGTTAATGAAGGTGACAAGAACGTGCGGAGCGTTATTGAAGGTGACAAGAATGTGCGGAGCGTTAATGAAGGTGACAAGAATCTGCAGAGCAAGAATGGTAACGCGAAGGTTTTGAAGAAAATAACCCTTGGATTGAAGAAGGAAATTGTAGAAAAACTTGATCGTGGTATTCATGTGACTGATCTGGCCTTGGAGTACAAGATGGTGAAGTCGACCGACTTGACTATTTTGAAGAATAAAGATGCCATCAAAGCAGCTGATGTGGCAAAAGTAGTAACCATGTTAACCAAGCACAGGACACAGTACTGGATGAGGTGGAAAAACTTTTGTTAGTGTGGTTGAATGAGAAACAGCTGGCAGGTGATAGTGTTAGTGAAGCTATGATCTGTGAAAAAGCCAGGAAATTGAACAGTGATTTGCTGCAGCAAAACCCCTCCACAAGTGCATCTAGTGATGAATTTAAAGCCAGTAGAGGGTGGTTTGAAAAATTCCGCAAGAGAAGTGGCATCCACAGTGTGATAAGACATGGTGAGGCTTCCAGTTCTAACCAGGCCGCTGCAGAAGCCTACAAGAAAGACTTTGCGGAATTCATGAAGGCAGAAGGATACGACGCTCAACAACTGTTCAACTGCGATGAAACGGCTCTTTTGGAAGAAGCTGACGAACAGAACCTATATCACGAAGGAGTAGAAGGCACTGCTGGGGTTGAAGCCCATGAAGGACAGATTGACCCTTTTGCTGTGTGCGAACGCAAGCGACGATCTGAAGATTAAGCCACTACTGGTGTACCATTCCCAGACCCCTTGTGCATTCAAGGAACAGAATGTGAACAAGGCCAGACTGCCTGTCATGTGGAGGGCCAATGCGAAAGCTTGGGTCACAAGGCAATTGTTCATGGAACGGCTGACAACCAACTGAGTGGTGCCTTCTGATGGACAATGCCCCTGCATACCCTCCAGCCTTGGTGGATGATATGGATGCTGAGTATGACTTCATAAAGGTCAAGTCCCCCCCCCCCAACACGACACCTCTTCTGCAGCCCATGGACCAGCAAGTGATCTGCAACTTCAAGAATCTGCACACAAAGGAGCTCTTCACCAGATGTTTAATGTCACTGAAGAGACGTCTTTGACTCTGAAAGAGTTCTGGAAGAAACATTTCAATGTCCTCCACTGCATCAACCTCATTGACAAAGCCTGGGAAGATGTCACATACCGGACCTTGAACTCAGCCTGGAGGAAACTGTGGCCAGAATGTGTCACTGAACGTGACATGGAAGAGTCTGATGCACAGGTAGTGGAGGAGATTGTGTCCATGGGCAAGACTATGGGTCTGGACGTCGATGGTGCAGACATAGAGGAGCTTGTTGAGGACCATAAGGAGGAGCACACGACGCAAGAACTTGCTGAACTCCAGAGTGAGCAGCAGAAGGCACTTGTTGAGGAGCATTCCACCGAGGAAGAAAGGGAGGAGGTTAGCAGTGATGTGATTAAAATCCATAATGGGGAAAATGGAATGAGTGCCAGGATTTCTTTGAGACGCACCACCCCAACATAACTGTGACGAACAGAGTCTTGAATCTGATGAACGGCAATGTGGTCTGTCATTTCTGGAGGGTTCTGCAGCGCAGAAAAAAACAGCGGACATTATACAGATTTTTCACCATAATTGACCCTGCAGCTAAGAGACAAAGAAGTGAGGAAACCCCTGAAGGAGATCTCCCCAATGTCCTTATGGAGGGGGACTCTCCTCCAAACAATAACCTCCTCCCCACCCACCTTTCCGTCCTTCACGCCAGAAGTTGCCCCAAGCGACTGCCTCCAGCAGCAAGTACCCGTAAGAGACGGCTGGCTCCCTGATGACGTAAGTAAAGAAGATGGCAGTGCGGGACCTGGAGTGTAGCAACAGAAAAGTGGGTCACTACCGAACACCACTATTCACTGGACGTGTGAGTGTGTTTATAGATACAGGATTCCCCAATAGAAGATTTCCCCTAACTTTTTGTTCTGGGGAAAATGTTGGATTTCCTCCTACTTTATTCAAGTACAAATAGAGGAGGGAATCTTACCAATAGGGTCACAGAGGCAATTAAAAAGTGAACAGAGTATCTACTCTATCCAAAACTTAAAAAAAAAAGAAAGGTTTGCTTAGAGATGCACTATGATCCATAAACGGATAACCCCAGTTCTTACACCTTTTTAAACTCCCCAATCATTGTAATGTAAAATCACTTATATGACAAGCATGTATCCCATAAATGGAGCCCAAGCTGTTGCCTTGGTTTGACCTGGTAGTGAATTTATGAACTATTTGCTTGTTATTCCTCGAGTTGAGGAGGTATTTTTATAACCCCTGCCGACAGCTTCAGAAGATGCTGTACTCACAAAATATAGTATGTGAAGGCTCTAGATCTGCATAAATGGCAACATATTGGATACATTAGTATGATCTGGTATAACATATGAACACTCTGAGCCACTGTATGCATTACAGACTTAGACCGTCTGTTTTTAAGGCGTATAAAAGAAGAACTGTTGTCCATATCACAGCATCTGACAGTAATTCTACTTTGGAAACTGTGATTGTGCAATCTTTCTGTTATCTGACAGTGAAAACCCGAATGCTAAACATGCTTAGAGTGGTGAGGTGAAGGAGAACATAGGCGGCTACATTTTCAAGCAAGCCACGGCAGATTATAGACATGAGGTTGGAGTTCAGCTATAATAAAACAAGGGTCTCAGTTGCACTTTCTGCAAATCTATGGCAAGCCATGCAAATTTACCTCTGTAAGTGTGCTCACTTCAAATTGCCTTATAACAGAGGTAGTATCAATTGTTAATCAACTAGCAGTCATTCAACTTCTCCCTTTCATCTTGTCACTACGAGTTTAAACATTAATGGTAAGCACTGTCATACTATCACAGCAATGCACCTTTTAGCATAACTGACTACCTGTTCCACGCAGTGTAAAAGGTCATCTAATGCGTCATGGTAGATTCTTTTTTTTTTCATGTACATTTTAATTTTGCTTTTTTTTTTTTTTTTTTTTTTTTTTTTTTG